GGAACAAATTAAGGACCAAAAAGAGATTGATAACCCTTACGCTGTGTACCTTCCTCACCACGCTATAGTCCGAGAAGATAGACAAACTACAAAAGTAAGAGTAGTTTTTGACGCATCTTGTAAAGGTGTTAATGGTGTGTCATTAAATGATACATTACTAGTGGGCCCTAGAATACAACAAGATCTACGCCACATTTTGATGAGGTGGCGAACAAAACAGTATTGTGTCGTAGCGGATATAACACAAATGTATAGGCAGGTGGTCGTTGATAAAAGTGATACCGATTTTCAACGCATAGTATGGCGTAATGATCCCGATCAACCCATACAGCATTTCAGACTATTGAGACTCACCTTCGGAACGTCGTGCGCGCCATATTTGGCAGTGAAATCTCTCCAACAGTTGGCAAAGGATGAAGAGGCGAAATATCCGTTGGCTGCAAAAATAACTGTTGAAGATTTCTATGTAGATGATATGTTATCCAGTTGCGAGACAGAAGATGAAGCTATACAAATTTATAAAGAAATGAACGAATTAATGAAAGAAGGAGGCTTTATGTTACAAAAATGGGGCAGCAACAGCAAATTACTTTTGGATTATATTGAAAGAGAGAACCATAGCTTAAATAGTAACTACCATTTTAAAGTTAATGACACCATTAAAGTTTTAGGTATTTCATGGAATAAAATTTCTGACAATTTTGAGTACACCTATAACTTACCAGAATTAGATACATCTGTGACAAAACGTAAAGTTTTATCCAACATTGCAAGACTTTACGATCCAATGGGGTGGGTAACGCCAGTATTAATTACAGCTAAAATCTACATGCAAAGGTTGTGGAAGTCTGGCTTGAACTGGGACGATAACTTGACACCAGATTTACAAAAAGAATGGTTTCATTTTAGAGAGGAACTAAACAAAATAGAAAGTATTGTCATTCCTAGATGGTTGTCAACAAAGAAAAATGATTCAGTTGAGCTTCACGTATTCGCTGACGCTTCACAGTCCGCTTATGCTGCTGTCGTTTATATGAAATCAATTGACAAGGATGGAAATATTCATGTAAATATAGTAACAGCGAAAACAAAGGTTGCACCAATCGATAAAGAGATTTCTATACCAAGAATGGAACTATGTGCAGCATTGATGGCTGCTAAACTCATTTTTGAAGTCGCTCAAATATTGAAGGTACCTAAAAATAAAATGTTTGCATGGTCCGATTCAACTGTAGTGTTAGCATGGCTTAGAGGGGAGCCGAGTCGTTGGACCACATTTGTCAGTAATCGGGTTTCTGAAATTTTAACGATTATGGAATTTGACCAATGGAACCATGTGACCACAGATCAAAACCCTGCAGATTGTGCATCTAGGGGCATATCTGTAAAAGAATTGAGTGAACATAGTATGTGATGGCATGGACCTAAATTTTTACATCATACAAATGTTTATATGACCAATTTTGAAGAAGAAATTAAGCAACTGAACTCTGGAGCTGGATGTGTCACTAAAAAAAGTACTCTTCACTCTCTTTCGCCGTTTTTGGATGAAAATGAATTATTAAGAGTAGGAGGTCGTATCGAGTTTTCTGTTGCACGAGTTGAGAAAAAACACCCGTTAATTTTGCCTAGTGACTCTCATCTAACTAAATTAATAATTATAGATGCACATTACAAGACACTTCACGGTGGACCTCAAATTATGATAAATTTTATAAGAAGTAAATATTGGATAATAAGAATTAGAGAGAAAGTAAAAAAATGCTATCGAAATTGCGTAACTTGTGTTCGTTATTCACGTCAAAATAACAATCCATTTATGGGCCAAATTCCAAAGGCTAGATTAACTCCTGATCGACCTTTTCGATCATCTGGCGTGGATTTCACTGGTCATATAAATGTAAGATTTTCGCCTGGCAGAGGATCAAAATCCTATAAGAGCTACATATGTATTTTTGTATGTATGTCAACCAAAGCGATCCATCTAGAAGCTGTATCGGATCTAACAGCCGCTGCGTTCATAGCAGCTTTCAAAAGATTCGTTTCCCGTAGAGGTTATTGTCAACATTTATACAGCGACAACGGGTCCAATTTTATAGGAGCTGATAAAGAATTGAGAGATATGTTCAATAAAGCAAAATCGCAATTGCCAATCGAAATTTCTCATTTACTTGCTCAAGAAGGCACTACATGGCATTTCATACCGCCACAAGCTCCCAATTTCGGAGGACTTTGGGAAGCTGCTGTCCGGTCTACTAAGACTCATTTAAAAAGAGTCATAGGAGATTCAACACTTACCTTTGAGGAGTTAACCACGATCTTAACACAGGTAGAGGCGTGCTTAAACTCCCGTCCTTTATCCTATTTAAGCGATAATCCAGAGGATCCAATGCCATTGACGCCGGGTCATTTTTTAATTGGAGAACCACTTATTACAGTTCCCGATGAGGATTTTTCTCAATCGTATATATCAGGTCGTCAGAGATGGAAGCTTACTCAAAAAATAGTTAATGATTTTTGGAAGAGGTGGTCTGACGAGTATTTAGTAACTTTAAATAATAGGTATAAATGGTCTATTAAAAAAGATGAGCCTGAAATTGATGATATTGTAGTTGTGAGAGATCATAATATTCCTCCAGCAAAATGGTTGTTAGGAAAAATCATAGAGAAACACCCTGGTAAAGATAACATTACCCGCGTTGTTACAATTAAAACAAAAAATAATACTTTTAAACGGCCATGTAACAAATTATGTTTCTTACCAAAAGCTTAGTTTTATATAATAATAATTAATAAATATGTTTGTGTTATTTGTATAGAGTTTTTACGGTGGGCGGATCTGAAAATCTGCTTTATAACAATAATATTAAGTTTTGAAAAGGCCGGTAGCCTTTTGGTGGGCGGAATGTTTAATAAGGTAAATACATACTATAAAAATAAACATATAAATAAATAATTAAATACACATTAATACTATATTAAATATACCGTCCTAATATATACCTATGTAAAGGCTCTTAATAGAAACTGTGTTCCTTTTGTACCTCCTTTCTTAGGTTAATATCTATGGTTTTATTTTAAAGCAACATTTTTTGTTATCGTCTGTCAAACTATTATAAAAATTCCAATAGCAGAAAAATTGTGGTTTTATTGTGGTATTTATGTGAGAAGATTAAAGTTTTTTTTTTTTTTTTCCGGTTTTCTTTCATGTTTAAAAGTAAATTAGTTTTCAAAACTCAATAAATAACTCATATTCTATTTGCACTTTTTCGTATTTATATTGATATATAAGTTTCGAACTTCCCAAATGGTAGTTTTTTAATAGGTATGTTAGTTAATAGGAACTGAAATGACTGTCTTTGTTCCTTCAAAAATCAACTTTTGCTAGAGTCACCATCTAGTGGAGATTCTTTTTTAGTGCTTTCGTTTTTCTTTTAATTGGTTTATACCGTTACACTAGGTGTGTTAAGTAAATAAACAAATTGCTATCTCTTAGTCCTTCACATGTATAGTAAACAATACACTCTACTTATTCGTATATTCTGTAATTGCCTCACTTCCCTCTTCTTGACTATCACTTGTAAGCAAATAACCCTCCAAAGGGTTCCGAAAGGCGGGAATAAAACAAAATGAGTTTCGCTATTGATCCGCTAGAGGCGTGCAGTTTATGTTTAGTGAACCTGGCAATATGAATGTGTTGGGATAAAAAGATATTCTTGATACAGCATTTTAGTTTACCTTTCACATTTGGTTTTGAACTGTATGCACAGCTTATACGGATGATATTGCAATGGTTCAGGTAGTCAGGGACGGTCCGCAGTTGTCGTAAACTGGCGGTTTTAATTTGGCGTTACTATTTGTTGAGGCGGCCCCTAATTGACTGTATGGTAAAGCGTTAACGATATATTTGAGGTTAGTATACCTGCAGTACGCATGGGAAAGGTTAGTTAGGGGTAAATAATCGTTAAATTTTAAATCAGCTTTCAATTCGAAATATGAAACTCGTTTGTTTTAGAAGTACCTAAGCTTACTCCATTAATAATGATTATTAGTTTGAAATAGTTAAGTGCATGTGCTTATGTTTTATAAATCAATGTCATTATGATGTTAAATACTTAATAATTTTAGTATAGAATAGTTATTCATAATTTTTCTTATTGATCATATCTATACCTACCTACAACAGTAGGTACAAGCCCGAATCTACTATTTTTTTCAACCGGAGCAGAAACTTCATATGGTGTCCTAATAAACCTTGTAGGCCGATGACTTTATACTGCCAAATTTTTGTGGTAAATGATTTTTAACCTTTTTTTCTTTGATGGATTGTATATAAAATATGTATGTGTATGAAAAGATTTGTGTGATTTTTATCAATATACCTATAGTGTTTCAAGAGAAAATTTTGTAGGCATGCTTATTACATGACCACGCAGGCAAAGCCACTGACGGAAAGCTGGTTAAATATAATTAGGTATATATCAGAGACAACATCACATACAAATTGCTGGGATTCCAAGATGAATAAGTAAAGCACTTATAATGGAGTATCTGAAACAACGAAGGTAAAAAAAAATATTTGACCCTTGTGGCTCGCATGCTGGTACAACCTTGAACCCAGCATGCGAGCCACTCGTTAAAAGGCTCCAGTAATTCCAGCCAGCCATAATATGTAATAATTTAAAATCATTTTCTTGTCTAAAATAAATGTAACTGTGATTTTTAAAGAATTTATAAAAAAAATCGATACAAAATAAAAGTTTTAGAACGCATCATAATCAAGATGATTTGTCAATTTTGTAAAAGCTTGTTTTCGTAGTATTGATATCGCAAATATGATTGGTCAGAAGCATTATGATGCCTATGTAACGTTCCTGTTTATCTGTTATAGATTGATTTAAATATTATTTAATGAGACAATTAAAGTAAAACATACAACACTTAAAATTTTAGTTTATTGTATATAGTTTATATGAGATGGAAAGTGTAGCTTTAGCTATTAAAGTGGGATTTTTTTTGAGTAATTCGTAAATGTGGAACGGAACGCAACCACCAAATTAAAATTGCAAAGAGAACAGCTAACTCTAAGTTTGCTTGTCATCGCCGCCGAACTAAGAAAATATTATTCGTTTATTGCAATAGAGTGAATCAAAAGTGTAAATATTAGCTCTTAGAATAAATACGTATTTACGTTGTTTTAATCAAAACCATGAGTTCAATCGGAACTGGGGTAAGTGATGTTAAATGTTAGGTTATAATTATTTACTAAGTTCCTAATTCGTACTATTTTGTGTTGTATTGGGTTGTTTTCTAGCCATATATTTATTACGATTACGATCTTTCATTAAAATTCATTTCAATGTATGTAATTTAATCCGGATGGCTAGTTTATTATTTTTATGTTCAGTATTTGATTACTTAGACTACTTCAGTGAAGCAAACCCCAAAAATTATATATTAACTTTTATTATGGTAATGATTTTCTAAAATGTTACAGTATGATCTTTCTGCTTCACAATTTTCGCCTGACGGTCGAGTATTTCAAGTTGAATATGCAGCAAAAGCAGTTGAAAATTCTGGCACAGTCATCGGGTTACGTGGAAAGGATGGAGTGGTGTTTGCTGTTGAAAAACTAGTTACATCTAAACTGTATGAACCTGGTGCTAACAAAAGAATCTTTCATGTTGATGAACATGTTGGCATGGTAAGTAACCTTACAATAAGTTTGTCCATCATTCATTAACAACAGACCATCGTTTTAAGGTATTGTTTTGTGTGGAGATACATAGAAAGCTACAGTTGCAGAGTGACATATAATAGAAATAAATTGTCTTTCTACATGAACATGCAGTTCATTTGGTTATGATACTAATTGTACGATAATACCAATGATTTTAATATAAACAATACTAGTTTAGTTTAATCTTTGATGCTGTATCCCTTGTAGAATTATAGATCTTTGCCAAACAACCAAATAATATAATTACACATTTTTACCTTCCTCATCATTCATTTATAGATGAAAGAAATAGTTCTTATAATCTCTTTCCTAAAGTTAACAATAAAGGTTTGCCATAGCAATAACTTTTCTCGGGTGTCTACACCAGACCAATTTTTTTTTTTGTTTATACTATAATATACAATAAAAACAGTTATGATAAAAACACAATGTAAACTTAGTTTTTTTGTTAATTTGGCAAACTTTAAAAAAAATATTTTGTATTTTCTAAAACTTTGTAAATCCATTTTTTCATATCAATATGATCTCTCATACCTCATAAATAAAATAAATTAAATAACAATCAAATCCAAAAATATATATCATGGCATATTTATTTTCAAAATCTTATGTATTTTAATATCAATGTACATTTAATGAATTTCAGGCTGTAGCAGGTCTCATATCGGATGCAAGACAGATAGTAGAAACTGCCCGCTCAGAGGCTTCTAACTACAGATCACAGTATGGAATCCCAGTGCCATTGAAGTATTTAAATGAACGAGTCTCTATGTACATGCATGCTTACACATTGTACAGTGCGGTACGTCCATATGGTTGTTCCGTTGTAATGGGAACATGGACGGAGCATGAGGGTCCTCAGATGTATATGCTTGATCCCAGTGGAGTCGCATTTGTAAGTTAAAATTACTTTTTTATTTGTTATCCAAAAGTAACTTGGAAATCTAGTAAGGAATAATTTAGACATGGTAACATATTACATGTCCCCAAATCTTCCTCACTAGTCTTTGGAAGTAGCTAAGTCCTTCCATATTGAATTCCGATTAATGGTTTTCTTTTTTGCTTTGTTACTTTTTATGACTGCATAAAAAAGTAACAAAGCAACCTCTTGTGCAGTCTGCCATATTAGATTTGCATCTAACATAGTGTAAAAGATTGTGACAAAAATGTGCAAGAGCTTGATACTCTTATTTCAGTATGTTGAAGTACTAAGGGTAAGTACTTTAACACCTACCCTTACTCTTTGCTTGCATAAATGTTAATGCTAAATTATTAGTAATCTGTTCATAAAAACTAGACTTATATAATGGAAAAACCCATTTAGCAATTGCTAGAAGTTTTTTGGCACAGCTACCACCGTATATTCCACCTGACCTCCCAATAAGTGTGTATACCGTTAGCATGTAAACATAATGAAAAATCAATCTTTCTAAAGCTCTTATACATTTTTGTCATAGACTATTTGCATATTAAACTGTGAACAAAATATGAAGGTTATTTTTTAGAATTTTTGATTTCAGTTAGATTTGGATAACATAAATGAAATAAAAACTTATATAATATTATTTGAGTTATGTATGGTTTTACCTCATTGATTTGCGATTGCATACTGTGTATCTATGTGTACACACCATGTTTATAGAAAATTGTCATTTTGATTTCCACAAAATTTAAATTTTCTATGATTATTTTGTACTCTACTATGATAGCATTAATCCTCAAATGTATTTAACAGTTGTGTATAACCTGACTTGCTGCTAACTTAATTATGATCTTAAAACTTATTTATATTATAAAAAAGTCGTAATAATTTTGAGATTTTGATCTATCAATAAAGTATTAAAATGTTGCGGATTTTTTACAAAGTTTATATAAAAAAAAAGAAGTTTTTATGTATTAATCCTTGCATTTACAACATTGTTAATTGTTATTACAAACAATGTTACAGTCTTACTTCGGCTGTGCAGTAGGGAAGGCGAAACAAGCGGCTAAGACTGAAATTGAGAAGTTGAAATTGGCAGATATGACTGTGAAAGAGCTGGTAAAGGAAGCTGCCAGGATGTAAGTATGATTAGTAGATTTCGTTAAAAACTTTTAACACTAAATATGACCCTGATCCTTTTTTCCTCAGCTAATTAAAAGTCTAAGAAAAAGAACAATAATACTTTGTTGATAATAATATGAATTACGCCATCTGTCGTTGTTCATGTGCAAGTCTTGTTCGGAATATAAATGTTTGTTAGACATACCTTACGCAGCTTTTCTAAAGATGGCGTCATTCGAGTCCTATGTAAACAAGTTGCAGAACAAACAAAAATTTTTTTTGTGTTACTTGTGTAGCTTAACAAAAGATATTCTTTCCTTCAACATATTTTGATAGGATATGCACACTAGCTCCAAAGTAGAATCAAGACTAAAGTATCTCTGCTCGAAACTAGATGGCGTTGATATGGCAGTTTGAAGCTAGGCTGTGAATAGTTTATATCTTAAAAACTTGTCCGTTAACATGTGTAATCATGAATGTTGATAGAATAAGAGGACTTTCCTTCTATCTTTATAATGTTAGCATAATAATATATATTTTTCTTCAAACTATTGAATAGGGATGTTGACAATTTTTTTTTTGTTTGTCCGTCAGGTAGATTGTTGAAAAGTATTAAACACGTAATTTTCAAATTTTTTGTGTAATGGCGTTACGCTTTTGTACATTATCTACAAAACTGTGACGTAGCGAGTCCCCACTCCTCAACTTTAATGCCTGCTATCTAAGCTATTTTTTGTTAAATTGAAGTTAAAGAAATACGTTATCTAATATTTTTCTATTACCTGACTTACGGACTAGATTTATTTTAATAGATTTTTTTGTCATCCTTAATGTCAAAAAGAATTTCTTATAATATGCATGCCAACTATGGTGTCTAATTCAATATATAATTTTATTATACATTAGTAACCTCATTTTACCCCCGAGATGTGATATGAAACGTCTAACCAAGCCGCAACAGCCGTTAGAAATATTTTCACAAATATTGAAACTCGTTAAATATGAAAATTTTTATATTTCATAAATCTTTAAGTATTTTGCGTTATAGATATTTTATCAGTACGGCAGAGTGATTCTATAAAAACCCGAACCCTGAATTCGAATACACTCATGTGTCCGAGTTCACGTAATTTAGTTAAGAAATTCTATTGATTCTTTGTTTTGTATTAAGTTTTGTGTAATAAAATTGATTGGATATACGTGTCTCAGATATTCTATTCCTATGGCATTTCGAAACTCACTTCACTTATGCCACGAAACGATACTACCAAATTAAGATTCAGTGGAAGTTGCTTTTTGAAGTGGAGTGAGTGAATTCGAATTTAGGTTTAGATTTTAACAAAATCGTAGGGCAGAATGTTGAATGAAAATCGATGAAATATATATAACCTTATCTATGTTCATAATTAACTCGCCTGGTTAACGAAAGGTTGTATCATCATCATCAGCCCTTTTACGTCCCACTGTAGAGGGTCCCCGACTATCAGACCTTCCTTATATGATTAAGGTGATTAATGAGGATGGGCCATGCCCCTCCACGCTGATTCAATGCGGATTGGAGGATATTAACGAGGAGGGCTTAACGTGCGTTCCGAAGTAGGGAGAAGCTCGAGATAATTTCTGATCACCCATTCCGTAACCGACCCTTGCGAAAGTTGCTTAACAACAACGAATGCGAGCGGTAGCGCTTATCCATTACGCCACCGAAAAATTACGGGTTATATATATTTGATTTATCCTGTTGTTTGCAGTATTTACTTAGTCCACGACGAGCTGAAAGACAAACAGTTCGAGCTGGAGCTGTCGTGGGTTTGCGCGGCCACCGAGGGCCGGCATGAGCTCGTGCCGCGCGACGTCGCCTCCGAGGCCGAGAACACGGCCAAGCAAGCCCTCGCTGACATCGAAGACTCGGACGACGGCGATATGTGAACGGATTAGACAATAAAACTTTTTTTTTTACTTATCATGTGCCGTTTTATTTGAAACTCCTTACTTTTCCGTACCTCGAAAATGAGAAACCCTTATCATGTTCCCGCTCTGAGATGGGGTTCGTAAACCGGTTGTCGCGAATGCGAAGTCATATTGGGAATATTCTGGCAACACCTTGTACCATGCGAACGGGCTTTTTTTGCCATTGTCAATTAGCTGGCGTTTTCAGAAATGCGTTTCGGTCTAAAATATATATACTGGAAAAATCATATAAGGTCTGATAACCAGGAAATTGTTAAATTGAACTGTGTATCAGGAAGTCTGTTAACATATTTATGTTTCACCTATTTCGATATGTGAAAACGTACGTAGTGTTTCTATGCTTTATGTGTTATTGTGTGTAATCAGTACTAAATCAGTGACCGATGCGTCGGTAAGTTTAGATATCTACAGGTATATCAGATCATTAACGGGCAGAATAATGATGTGTAGCATCAGCAACTGATGATCAGAACAGTGTGTAAACTCGGGCCAGGCATGGGGTACGGGACTGTACGGGAGGTCGATGGTCACTTAGATTTACAGCCCCCAGTTATATCAGTGCAAGCAAATTTAAATGATTTGCGAATCATAATCGTGACATTGTAGAATTTGTGAATTAACTCAGATACTCTTGTCGTTTTATTACCTACTAGCTTTCCGCCAGCGACTGCGCCCGCTGGTACCTTACTCAAAGATCTTAACTTCCCTCCCGCACGCGCACCCCCGCCCCCGCCTTGGTGACGTCCATTTCGCAGCAGAAATCGTAATATTTTAATTTCGCCACAACTTCAAAACCAAACGTCCAATTTTAACCATTCAAAGACCAAATATCTACATAAACTGTACTTAGTGACGAAATAATTTATTTTGATAAGAATTAACAGCATGAGTAAAATAAACGCGTTTAAATGTAGCCCAAAATAATTCAAAATTTTTCAATAAAAAAATGGTTGTACCTCACTCGACATAGATAGGTATAGTATGTCGCGGACTTTTTTTGTAGATATTTATAAGATCTACAATTAATTACAACATTTTATGGTTCTATCTTTTATAGTTAAGGCAGCTTGCTCATAATAAGTAAATTTTCTGATTGATTTTTTACACCTTGTGTCCGAAAAACCCAAATATCTTAAGGAACCCTATTTTTTTCCAAACTATAATATAGCTTATGTTTCTCGTGGATAATGTAGCTTTCGAATGGTAAAAGAATTTTTAAAATCGGTCCAGTAGTTTTTTGAGCCTATTCATTACAAAGTTTTCTTCTTTATAATACATATTAAAGTAGATCAGAGCATTTGACGACATCCGGCGACTGCTCTAACCACTGAGCTACCCAGGACCTAACAGGACGGACGAATTTTTCAAGCACTTGTTACTTTATTGCTGCTACAGACCGTATTTTCATCAATGTTCAGACAATCCACCCAAACAGCCGAAAGAAATATTCTGTCCATCTATTAAGACCCTTTTTCTCAAGAACGCGTGGAGGTATCGAGCTGTTTATATAAAATACTCCCTTCAGGTACTCCCTCAAGTACTCTGTCCCTTGAAGCTGTGAAAAAAATCAAACTTCTAAGCCAACGCAATGAGGGCTACGGTTTTTTTGCTCACCAGATGGCGCGGCAGTCGCGAGAGGTCCTGTCAAAGTATGTTTTCTACGAGATTGAACTTAAATCATACATCATAATACATAAATAAAACATTTTATTAAAATATCGAATATGCTGAATAAACACGAACTAACCTCTGATACTTTTCTTAGCTCCGGCTTTAAATCACTGACATTCATTGACAGGTAATTCATAATTGCTTTTATGAATCTCAGGTAAACCAAAATAAGCGTCAAAATTCGTTTATATGAAAATAAACGAATTTTTTTTTTCAATATGTACTTGTTCTGTTATACACGGGAATTTTGCCGACATCTCGTAGTGAGAGAGACATGTGATTCAAGAGTGACATTATGAAGACCTCACGCTACACTTGCGCCTCTAGTGGCAAATTCACGCGTAGCCCTCATTGAAAGATCACAGCCATTCTAGTGGAGGTGGTTTTTTAGTGCTTTCCTCAATGCGAAAATAAGTATTTAAGTAAAAAGAAAGCACTAAAAAGTACCTCCACTAGATGGCGACTCTAGCAAAAGTTGATTTTTGCAGGAAACGAATAGACCAAAGACACTCATTTCCGTTCATATTTAAACAATTTATGCCTTAACAGATGAAAACTCATTCTCATTTGTTTCTCACTCAATTATAGCAGCCATTGGATAGCATTACTTATTGGATTGTATTTTTCATTGATAACAGGATTTATATCACTGGTGAATTTTTAATACCCCCTAATGTATGTAATACATTTTTTTAATATATGTACATAACCTTATTGCATTAGATCTATTATATATGTCTTAAAAATGAATATTTAACTGTTTGTTTGCATTGAATTGGCCCCAATTAGACTTATTTCTGTGATACTATATATAAATCATAAATTACGGACACAATAGGGATGACGACTGGGTAAAGAAAATGCAATTCTATTTAGTCCGTCAGTCAGATAATAGAAAAATATTGGATACGTTTTTTTTACTTCAATTTAACGAGAAACAGCTTAGATAACAGGCATTAAAGTTGAGGAGTGGGGGCTCGCTGCGTCACAGTTTTGTAGAAAACGTATCATAACGTGACGTCATGCGAAATTTCAACTCCATGTATCACCGTAATTTTATGATTACGAAATAAATAAAAAAATACGTGTTTAATATTTTTCAATACTCTACTTGACGGACAAACAAATAAATAAAAATTTGTCGTCATCCCTATTGTACGTTTATTAATAAAAAATTAACGTTACACTAAACGTATGTTCACTTTAATATTTAGTTGTATGAGTGGGAAGAGATCAGGTAGGTAAAATAAAAGGTAGTAAAGATAATTCTTCATTTATTCGTATTGTCAGTTTGTGTTATTCTCACAATATTTGCAGATGTTACTAAGAGTAATAATATACAAATTGTATGACCGATATCTTGAATGACTCGCGTATTTATAAAATGTACAATATAATCTCATTCGTTTTGAACCTATTTAAATATTTACAAAATATTAGATCTCATAAACTTGTATACAATATTTATATTTTTCTTTAGATTACAATGTTATAAATACATATAAAAATTATAAGAGAAACAATATTTACACGATAATCAGGTCATATTTTCAAATATTACTTTTTTATATATTAGGTACCTAAGTATTACTATCCTGTAAGCTTTTCCTCTATTCCTGCTGCGGAGTTACTCTTGGATATAACTGAAATAGAAAATAAATAATTAGGCTGATAGATGAATAAACAAATACAAAATGGGCGTCATCAACAAAGAGGCAGCTGGATGACACCAAAATAACGATTCGCTTTCGTAAATCGAAGAAATAGGACAAATGCGAATCGGATTCGCGCACAAAGGGTTCCGCACCATTGATTTCATACCATCTATGAAAAATGCAAACAGCACGTTAGTCGCATTATGGCCCCCCTTAATAATTTTGTTATTTTTAGTATTAGTCGTTAAAGCGGCAACAGAAATTCATGTGTGAAAATTTTAACTGTGTTTCACGGTTCACAAGATATCGTCCCTGCGGGATTAACCCACGGGGACGATGCACCGGGGTAAGGTCGATATTTAAACGAGTATTCTCCTTCCCGTAGAGCGATAGAAACCGGGCCCTCCTTGCCGCCTGAGGTGAACCGGGTTTCACCAGGTAGACCGACCACACCGAGTACAGCGGTCCGTTACCCCGAGCAGGTTGCGCGGCACGTAGCCCTCCCGCCGCTGGGGCGGGGGCGCGCGGCACCACCACCACTCGCGCTCGGCGTCGTCCTGCTTGCGCAGCACCAGCAGGCGCGCGCCGCACGCGAACGACAGCTCGTCCGCGCGCGCCGCCGTGTACGAGAACACCGCGTACACCGCGCCGCCGTTCGTTATGCCCAGCTTCTCCTGCACGCCTGCGGGTACACGTCGTCGTTCGTCATAGAATAACACCGAACCGGCCAAAAAGAAAAGAGTCCCTGTCGTATATGCCCCGGAACGATATTAACTATTGTTATTATTCGATTTGTCAATGCGATAGGCTAGTTGAAAAGTTTTTGTTTTATTTTATACATAAATAGAACGTTATCATCCGAGAAATAATGTAAAAGTAACAGCATGCGTGCGATAGTGAGACGATGCTATGTTTATGGAACTGCTGCTAGTCGGCACCGAACGCACGCTCCTCGAGGCACTAAGTGCCGTCACACAATGCTGCAGTAGAGAAAAACGTCTGGGTAATCTTTATATTATCTTTGTTATTTGTGCGTTTATGTTTATAGCCGTTATAATGGAAGTTATAACGTTTAATATAACTAATTTATTGGCGTATTATGCATTTTGGTAATATATTTTTCATATTTTTTTAAAGTTTTCATATCTTAATATTTTCCAAATTGTTGTCATAAAATTATATTCGTGTCCATTACTGTCAATGGCAAATTGAGTAATAACAATATGCTAAAACTTTAAATTCCTCTATAATCCACTCCCATTTTTATCCCTTTATTTTCTGTTTTTCTGGATTAAATCAAGTAACGCTAACCGCATATAATGTAACTTTCCGTACATGTAAGAACTTTTAAAATCGGTTCAATAGGTTCGGAACCTATCGTTACAAACAGACGATAAGATCTTTCCTTTTTGTAATGTTAATGGGATAGATATTAAACTAAATCATGATGAGCCATAATCTCTGCTCATACTACAAGAACATACGTAACTAATCTCACATACATCACAAACGGTAGGGGAGACCTAGGTGAGTTGTGACAAGGAGGATTTCTCTCTACGTATTATAGTAAGCGAGATGGCATTAACGCTTGTTTGTCGTTCTCGACACGCGCTACACGACTCAGTACCTGTCGATGGTGCATGTGGCACAGTTGCATAAATACGAGGGTCAAACTGAAAGTTCTTAGAACTGGCCACTTATAAACAATATAATAAAAAAATAATTCTAAAATTTGAAAATATAACTCTTTGCCAATATTACTGAGTATATATTTCATTCATTTGTCATTTGTTTTACGATTTGGCGGCAAATTGAAAATTGTCTGTGTCACGTCATCATGAATTTAACACGAGAAAATTTTCGTGCAATGATTTTTTATGACTTTCGATGTCATTTAAGTCAACAAGAAAGTTATGATAGACTACGATTGGCCTTTCACGATGAAGCCCCATCTCGTGCGACTGTTTACAACTGGTTTAATGAGTTTAAACGTGGTCGCACTAATCTCACTGATGATTTACGTGAGGGACGGCCTTCTACGGCGACGACTGAAGATAACATCTGTGTTGTGCGGCGTATGATAGAGACTGACAAAAAAGTGACCTATCAACAGATTCGGACAAGCTTAGGCATCGGTATGAGTCAAGTGCACAAAATCCTCCACGAACATTTAGCGGTCAGGAAGCTTTGCGCCCGGTGGATAACTCATAATTTGACTGAGGCTCAAAAACTCCATCGTGTGGATTGGTGTCGTAAAATGATTGAAAGATTTAACGGAGGTGACTCAAATGCTGTGTTCGACATACTAACAGGTGACGAAAGCTGGATTTACTGTTATGATCCTAAAACCAAAAGACAATCTGCTCAGTGGGTGTTTCCTTTCGAGGAGTTGCCAACTAAAGTGAAGAGAGATCGAAGTGCGGGAAAAAAAATGGTGGCCTCGTTCTTTGGAAGGATAGGTCATTTTGCAACAATTGTGTTAGAGGATCAAAAAACAGTTTCTGCAGAATGGTACACTACCAATTGTTTGCCACTTGTCTTGGAAAAAGTTCGAGAGAAACGACCTCGCAGTAGGATCCTCCTTCACCACGACAACGCCTCGTCGCACACCGCCAAGCGAACGATCGACTATTTGGCGACATCAAACGTTGAATTACTGGGTCACCCGCCGTATAGCCCCGACCTCGCGCCTTGTGATTTTTATTTATTTCCAAAAATTAAAGAAAAACTTAAAGGAAAGCGGTTTATTAATGCTGAAGAAGCGGTGGCTGCGTATCGCGATGCCATTGAAGAGACCCCTAAGGACGAGTGGGCAAAGTGCTTTTCCCAGTGGTTCCATCGCATGCAGCGGTGTATTGACGTGAATGGACAATATTTTGAAAAGATATAATAAAACTAATAACTGGCTAATGTAATCAGTTTTTGATTTTCTAAGAACTTTCAGTTTGACCCTCGTATATCGTCAGTGTACAAAAAATTACGAAAAGTAAGTTTTTCTTCAAAATATTATTTGAATATATATCATATCTTAGTATATGTGCATTGATGTGTTATTTTTTCCTAAGTTATGTTGTTATTTAAGTCTCAATACGTGGCACTGATTTTTTGTATGCGCATCGTGTTTAGAAAATATGAATTATTATTCGGACCAAGACGTCATTTTGAACACCTAGGAGAGTTGTGACAGCCTGTCACAACTCTCCTAACTTACTCCAAATTTCTGCTGGGCTATTTTTACATTTTTTTTTTTTATTAACTTTAGATGTTTGTTGGTGTGTTAGTAGCTACTTAAGGTGTATAATGGCATACCGCATACTTATTTTTAAAAAAATACCAAATAACTATACACGAGAGACTGAAAATCTATGAATGTTAAGAAGCGTGTCTTAAGCGAAGAAAAACCTAAAAAAGCAAAGAAGACTAATAAGAAGAATAGAACAAGTGTTGAAGAAGATGTAGAAAATAATTGCTTTTATTTGGTTTGCCTTGAAGCCTATGCAGACAGCAGATCGAATGATCAGTGGGTCCAAAGCCTGGAATGCAAAGGCTAGGCACAGTTAGACTGTACTGGGGACGAACTTCATTACGTTTGGCATAATTGTGAATCTGATTAGATTAAGATTTTATACTGATGAGAATATTCTCATAACAAGTAATTATAATATTTTCATTAACTAAATATTGTATCGCTTTGAGATCAATCATATTATTGTAGTTTTAATATTAATACTATGTTGTTTTAGTTGGTAGGTATTAAAAGATGATTAATCAAATCAAATCAATGTTTATTTGCAGGTTATATAAAGATATTGGATGCAAGGACTGAATAGTTACACCGTGATCTGCTTAAAAAGCATACAATATTAGTAGGTTAGTAATTGTCAACTAATCTTATCAATAACATGTTATGTCAAAAATTCAACTAATTCATTAAGTATTTATACATTTACAAAGTACTGTCAGCTAGATACTCGTTTACACTATAATATGTTTTAGCTACTAATAATTTACAAAGTTTTCTTTTAAAAACATTACAATTATCCAGATTACGTATTGTTTTTGGAATTTTATCAAAAATTTTTGGAGCCATACAAAAGATACTTTTGTTCAACTGAGCTGTCTTAGAGGGTATCGTACACAATTTGTCTCGATGACGCAATCTCGTCTTATTTTCAAATAGTTGTTGATCCTGTTTGGCAAAAATACCAACTTCGAATATATAGATTGATGGCAGGGTCATGATATTTAGTTTAATAAAATATGCTCCTAACACATTTTTTCTGGGCTCTAAAGGCAGTTACAGAATCAGTCGAATATCCCCAAAATATAATCATAACATATAACCGTATCGAACAGTAGAAACTACGTACGCGTGATAAGCTGTAAGGACCGTGCACTGATTCGCGATCCTACTAAGTTTGTACAGTGCACAAGAATACTGGGACAACTTTTTGCAAACATGTTCAGTGTGTGTTTTCCAAGTCAAATTTATTATTATAGTACTGATTTAAGTACTGATTTGATAAAAAAAAAACGTGCTTGATTTATTTATGTCGTATGTAATGGTATTTTTATATCTTATAGCTTAAATACAATGATGTCACAACTTACCTCGGTACCTGTCACAACTTACCTCGGTGGTAGGAGAGTTGTGACAAGGGGAGTGGACTTGAATTTTGTTATTTTTTTCAGAAACTATTATACTTTAATTAATTTTAGTGATGGTTTTGAAAACAGAAGGAATGGCGCTAAACTAATTCACATGAGTCATAACTGTGGAATGTTTCTTAAGCGAGATAGAGCCCCTTATGTAAAAATTGTCACAACTCTCCTAGGTCTCCCCTACTACTTATTATATGGCATTTTACGAATAAACAAACACGCATGTGCTCTCGAGCTTACAAAATCATGTCTACCCCGCAAGAGATACAGCGAGTAAATATAGATAAAACTCACTGTAAAGATATTCAGAACATCCGTCGAAGCCTTCCTCGTCCTCTTCGCACTTTTCTGCTGCGGTCTCGTGGTCAGACAATGTCGTAGCAAATATACACGCACCTGGAAATTGCAGCGAGTGTTATCAAATATTAATATGAATAATGTCCTGTAATTAATATTACCTTCTGTAATTAATACGTTAGTCCTGTAATTAATATGTATTTACCTGTAGGATATTAAATGAGGTAATCCCACATAAAATTCGGGAGTTGAACCCGATAAGAATGTTCAATTTAAACAGCACAAAACAACACAGTTCACGAGAAGGAAAAGAAGCACAAGCACTAAGAATGAAGGATATATTATTTACACACAGAATAGAATTAAATTACAAGAAAAGAATTATATAAAATAGCGAAATTGAGCAAATTATTAATTATTAGCAATGTGACGGTCGTACGCAAGCAAAGCTATATGCAGAGTCATTCTTGTTCGGCCGACGGCGCGTTTGCCATTTTTCATTAAATATATCAGTGGAAGCCAAAGATTGTATAGTTATATTAAGCTCAAAATTCAATGCAAAAATTTTCTTTCAATAATGACACTTATAATTCCTTTTCAACATTGAATGTCATCGTAACTTGCTTGCCCTTATCCGAAGGGGGCGAATTTACATACTTACAGTTTAAAAAAGAACAAGAATGAGACGGACATTTTCCAAAATCCGTAAACGAAATAAAGGACCGTAAATCAGCCCTACGATTCTGTAAAAATTCAAATCCGTATTCACTCAGGTATCCGAATGCACTTTAAAAACTTTGGTTACAACAAAGTATAAACGTTTTGTGGCATAAGTGAAGTGAGTTTCGAAAGGACATAGGAATAGAACATCTGAGACACGTATATTCAATCAATTTTGTTTTGTATTTTTGTACAAAAAATGGAATCAATAGAATTTGGGTCTGCGTTTTTCCAGAATCGCAGGGCTGGACCTGTTTAAGGAGACCAAAAACTAGACTAAAAGAGATAAATAGTGTCTGGTTACCATTATCGACGAGGAATCGCACCATGGGCAGGTTGTTGCAGGACGCGGCGCAGTGCAGCGGCGTCCAGCCGTCCGAGTCCTGCGCGTTCACGTCGCACCCGAGCTCCACCAGGAACCTGAACGATACCACATGTATCACTCAATAGGGCAATAGACTAATTTTGAAAAATCCTTTTAAAATATTCTTTACTACATAATAAGCACATAACATTAATATTCAAGGGAAATTTACTGTATTTATCAATAAGAAACATATCTGAAACCGCGCGAAGAATACTGTTTCTGTCATACGCCGCGTATGACGTCACACGCAAATAAATAATACCTCATCGAAATCAAATACCGAATAAAATACCTAGAAAACTTAAAAGATGCACTACGGTTATCATGACAAAGCTCTCAATGTTTTTATTTTTGGCCACCGTGAGCGCTGCCATAGATTGCATGTCTCTAATAACAATGGCCATTTTATGGGATGAGGAAAGCGCCATCTACAATTCACTCCCTGAATTGAAAAGGAATCCACCTTTGAATACTCACTTAACGATTTCGAAATGACCAGCGCAGATGGCGTTGTGAAGAGCCGTGATGCCCTCGTCGTTTGCAGCACTCGCATTCTGAACCTAGAAATAATATTTACTTAGTCTGAGTTCAAGTAAGTAAATTATGCTAAAATATTCTAACGCTTCCTTAAATTCAAACTCAATCCAGAATGCATTAATGATATCACCATCGCAATAAAAGACTGTGTATAAAAGTTTTCTCTACATGTTAGCTACTATTTCTTTACAAAGTAAAATTGTGAGAAACATTGAAACATATACAAAACAAAAACAATTTTTGAGGCTAGGTATAAAAACCCTATCTGGTGACCTCAAAATTCAATTCCAGCTTTGGAGTTGGTTTGCATGGTGTTACCCATACTGTTATGCTACATTTAAATCAAAATTAAGTACCAACAAATTTTCTAATTTTAGTATACCTATCTATGGATATTATTTACATTGTTATGTTATGTTTTACCTGTGTCGCGGTCTTTTTGACAAGCTCCAACTCTCCCTCTAGACTAGCGTCGAGTAACAACGCCAGGGGATCGAAGCTGACTCGCCTCGTTAGGGGGGCCTTCCCTCCCTGCTTCAGATTGCCCTTCTTTGATCGCCTCAGAACATTCTCAGAGCCCTGAGAATCCTGACCGTTCAAGTCCACCGAGCTTATCTGTTCGGCTATGTCCGCAACATTGTCTTTACTGTCCTCTTGCTTTTCGCTAGAATTCAAAGATATGTTGTTGTTAAGGGCCTTGTCTACTTCGTCTTTCTGTTTTGCCTTCACACCGTTCGTTTCATTCGCGTCCGACAGATGGTCCATTTCAGGGAATAGGAAAGCTGGCGGCATTTCTATACGGCGGTTAATGCTGACGCTTATACCGTTCTTCCCAGAATTCAAATTCCTGAGTTTCGGTTGTTCACTCATAGGCGGTTTTCTTATTGTAAGGGGACGAGCTTTGATTATCATTTCGCTGCTATTGTTACTGGATTCCTTCGGATTTGACTGCTGTTCACTGTCATTTGATGTATCACTTAAAGGTATGGTGGGTTGAGCTGTCGCGTCCGTGTTTTGGTTAAAATTTGTCTCGTTGTTTACTGTTTGTCTTGGCGGTGTCTAGAAAATTTAAAGCAATGATATGAATATGACATAATATTATATTATCATAAGTCTTAATAATAAGTTAAGATGCGTGCTAGTAACGCTAAGCCTGGTATAAATACTAAGCTAACAATTTACCTTGATTGTAGGTTTCGGAGGTAAAGCTGGTTTAGGTGATTTGTCAGTGCTGACGTCAGGCGTAGACAACGGCGTGCTGGCACTTTGTGGGGGAGACAACAGGATACTTTGTTGAGACGCGTTCTGACCATTGAAGGTACTTCCTGTACTCGAAGATAAGCCCGAGGCAGTGTTCCTAATGATCTGGGGTTGGGAAGTAACCACGTTACTAACTACATGATTCGATGATGATACAGTGATGCTTTGTGTCTGAACGGTCTGTGGCTGGACCGGTTGAATCTTTGTGGATGATGTCTGGTATATGGGTGACGGTTTCGCGCTCGAGACCTGAATCGATGTTGGTGCAACACTCGATACGGGTTTCTGGAATGAATGGTGATGATATTTACATGAGGTATGCGTGAAAGCTACGTGACATAAGCTAATTTAGAATGATTTTTGTTAATTACCAATGATTTAAGAAACTCACCCCAAATCCGATTGAACTGTTTGAAGTTGTAGTAGTTGATCCCAAACTTGGTGTGCTACCTTTTAAATTACCCTGTTGACTCTTCCCGACGGCGCTCTTTGAGCTGTCATTATTATTTTGACTATTTTGACTTAATCTAGAATTTTGTGGATATGCTTGATTTTCTTTACCCTCTTGGTTACATCTACTCGATGAATCAGATTTTTGTAACTGATATGTATGTTCCTGTTGATATGTTCCTTCTGTTTGACTCAAAGGGGTCGCAAGACTTTTGTTCACAACCGTCAGAGGCGTTGAATGTACAGTCATATGATTCACATTAATGTTCGTTGCATTTTGATTCTTATCTTGTACTTCGTTGCTTTTGACGTTGACTTCTGATTTCGTTTTACCATTTGTGCTTTGAGGAAATTTTGTGTTATATGGCAAGGTTTGATATTTGGGATCTGATTTACTCGCAGCAAACTCTGGTAAGAACTCTTGTTCATTAATTTTAAGTTCTTTGCCTGTATGGTTGCTATTAGAGCTGTTTGTACTATTTGGACTATATTGGGGTTGTTTTGAGTAGTCTTGGTACTTGTTCATATGATCAAACATTGTTTTTTGATCGTATGCGTTAGTTATACCTTGTTGGACGTGGTTGTAGGCGTTTATATGATTATCTTGTTTATTTGGATATTGGCCTTGGTATTGACTGTCTGCAGGAGGCATATGGGGGTAGCTTCCATTATAAAGAGGATTCATCATCTGTTTCTGCTGGAGATAGAGAGTTTCTTGATGCGTTATATGACTCGGTATATTGTCGCTCTGCGTGAGCTGTTTTAATGGCACGTTATTTTGTATTACATTTTGCTTCATGGCCTGGAACATAAAACGAGTCTTTATTTTATTGAATCAATTATGATCGACATAACGACATAACATCAACGTAACTTTATATTTTAGACGAAATACATTCTAATTTTAGTATTTTAAGTAAGCTCGGAAATAGTACTCGTTATCTAATACAGAATTTTGATTAGAACTTTATAGCGTTTAAGATAAAATTATCAAATATCTTACTTGGAAGTTGTTGTTATGGTTGACGCTAGGCGCGTGAGGCACGTGGTTATAAGGCTCTATGGCTGCCACATTGCCCCTACTGGCTGGCTGGTTCTTTGGTTGACTACTCGCGCTGGAGTACGGCAATTGCTGCATCGGTGTTGGGTTGGTATTTCTGGAAGCGTAATACCTTCATGAATATGTAATCGTTTCTCTGGGAAGGAAAATCCCTTAGGCTACATTAATTTACGTATTTAAGCTATATGTAACGTATAGATATATAGATAGCGAATCAATTTTGGTACTTTCTTAATGTGTCAAATGCCTACTTTGCTAAAATAAGTTAAACGGTGTTTCATAATTTAGTAACGTATAGTATTTTTAAATAAATTTTATTAAAAGTTTTATAGATAAATAGAATTTACTTATTATGTTTTCAGATTATATTACTTTGAATGTCAGCTTTTGTACTTCAAACTTAATTAATACACATACATTCCAGTCAGTATAAAAACATTTGAAACAAAATATTATTACGCATTCATTACACAAGATTGAAATTATTATAAAATAAAGTCCTAAATGAAAGTTTGTATAACAATAAACAAATTTGTGAATTAATTTGCATTTATTATCCTCTGCATTCATGTCCGTAATCTAGAGCTGTTCGTTAATCATTCCCAGTCAACTAACTGTCCGTTAAGGTTTTTTAACTCGTTTACCACACAGTTTATAATTTTGCCCGTTTATACTTGTCGATTTAATTGTTTTGTTGCTGATAAGCGTTGGCTAGCTGCTGATTGAATGATTGAGCTCTCTGTTCTTTATGCCGGCACCTAATACTTTTTAGGGATAGGCAAAGAGAACTTGTGACGGTACAATCGTAGCCCGGTTGCTCTTTGCTTGCATTTTACATCTAGCTCTTATTCCTAGGATTTAAATAATCCAAATTTTTTATGTCTATGATTTTAAACATAATTTTTTGCTCTTATTTTCGTAATTTTAAATCGATCTTTCTACAGACTGTGTAGATTTATTACCTCTGTTGTTGTGGGTGTCTGTGTGCGGCCGCTAGTTGTCGGTTGAGCGCTCTCTTCCTGAGCAGTCGTGCTTGCAGTTCGGAGACGCGCCGGTCTATACTGCGCATCTCTTCCTGCCGTGCACCCAATGCTGCACGCTGGGCTGAGAGCCTGCCGTTCTGCTGTTCGTTCAGTTTGTTGCGGTACTGGAAGTAAATGATAAAAATGTTTAATTGTCATCTATCGTCACTAGGACATGTCTGTTTGTTTACATCAATAGATAAAAAAAAAAACTATTAATTAAAACTTTCATATATAATTGATAGTGGGATATTCGTTTAATGTATATTTGAAAGCCGTTATTTGTTCGTTTATAATGTTTTCTTTAAATTACAATAATGTACCGACAAACTAAGTTACCTAAGGTACTAGTTTTTGACCGCTCGAGAGCTTAAAAGTGAACTAGAATACATGACAATTACAATCCGACAACAACTGATCAATGACGACCTAACCCTAAGAATGTAATTTAACATTATAATTATTGGGTGACATTCGAGTGATCAAAAACTGTGAGCCTTATTAGGCGACAGTACCTTATAAATGCGAAAGTAACTTTACGTTTCCACAGGCAAACCGCTAAGCTGATTAGAGTTTTGATTAGACATTGCTTGTGGTCAACCTACCCACGTAAGTAGTGGGTAAAAATCAGATAAATATGTAAAAACAAAAAGTAAAACCTATAGTACGGAATTAGTAGATACAATAATAGAAATAAACTTGAAATTTAAACTACCAACATGCTTTAAAACATACGAGTAATATCATAGATACTACTTATATGAAATACGGAAATTAAGCTGCTAACAAATTCACAATCCTTTGTAATTGTTTCGGCAAAATCCGTTTTTAGTTCAAAAATTTAAGCGTGAGAGAGAAACTCAGCATTTTAAATGCGGTGCATGGGTCTGTTTCAACAGTATTACGCTGCTAAAATTAATTTGTGCTTTAATTTCTTTATAACTTTAAATATATTCAGGAAAAGCACGAAGTCGTTAAATACAAGTTAAAAGAGTTAATTTAAAAACTAAAATCAAATCGACTTTTATGAAAAATCTCGATCGAAAAAAATAATGTTCTAGTCTAAAATTGTAAACATTCTAGCTACAAATTGATTCATATCTGAAAATTGCTTTAAATAAGCATTAGTTTCGAGTGAGGATAAACATTAATATTTTTATATAATATTTTATTTAAAATTATAAATATAGACTTATGTTTATTAAAAAAATATCCATAATGGATATTATGTTTGTTTGTCATTCAAAGAATTAGTAAACAATAAAGCTATATTCGTTCCTCTTCGTTATGATGTTTAATTTTAACAGCGTGCAATTTTTATATTGTTTCGATGGACTATTCAAAATATTTCGTATAACATAGTGAGACAATTCCGTTATCACGGAAAATGTAATAATTTTCTATAATAATAAACATGACGTGATCTACTTTTCAATTAGATTCATCTCTCTTTATCATTACCTAAAACAAACTAAGTATAAACCTGTTTTAGACAGCGTCTGTCAAGTGTTCTGACAGTTGACGCATAAAATTAGTTATCAGAGCACGCAAAAGTAATATTTACCTACGCTCTCATCAAATTTCTTTTTTCTTCTTAAAGTCTTAGCGTCGACAGCATTTCACTATCCGCAAAGAGAGAAGCTTTTGGCATACTAATTTGTGTAAATTAAAAAATAAATTTGTAAGAAAAATTAAATAGATTCCCCGCTGTAACAGTGTATCATTAATTTCCCACGAACGACAACAATTTTACAAAACGACAAAGTCCTATCTTGAATCGCTCGTCTTATATCGAGCGCCTACTCACTAAGTCGAACGCTAGAAACGAGTGATAGAAACAACGTGAATGTCAACATGGTAACTTGTTTACATTATATGTCCTTACTTCTGCTCTGTGCATATATTTTACCAACATTCCTTATAGGAGTTTCAACGTCCATTAAGGTTTAATGACGTCTTTAAGCTCTAATGAATGTCATATTTGTAAAGGTAATGTCGCTTTAAACTAATGAAAAATTTAATTTACGTTTGTGCAACTGGCTGTTAGATAGCTTAAATAAGTAAGTAACAGTTGCGGTGGTCGGTGCCCTGTCAGTAGGGTTTCGTTTGAGAAGCGATAGTGCACTAAGCAATTTCCTTTTGCGAATAAAAGTAGAGACTACTACACATTATTTAAGGTATAAATTATTGCTTTCTCGTTTTAACACTTTGCAAAATCGTATTCTGAACAAAACTTTATTGACAGGATGTCGACCGTTACAACTTCAAGAGTACTGTTTCTTTTTCTATGAGAAACGAATAGCTTTTTATGATTAAAAATGGAGAAAAATATTTTCATACGATTTAAAAGTGTTATTTTTCCATATTTGATAATGGGGATTGAAACGAGTGATTCAAAAATTGAACTCCTGTGCCGAAATGATTGACGTTAAACAGATTACACTTTGGCAATTTTTCCGGATAATTGGTATTTTTTAAGGTCCCTTGGTCAACCAAACAAACAATTTCGTATTGAATAATAACTTTCTTATAAATATGAATGCAAGTAAACCTACTTCACAAATATTTAGGAAAAGTATTGTATCTGTAGTTTGTACATACTTCTATACATAGTATAAAATAAAGTAGTTTTCAAGAAATCCACTGTTGTTGTTGAAGGCAACCTTTTTTATTGATTTAATTTTGATATTATTTATTTATATTGTCTACTACGTATATTTGTATCTTATAATGGGAAAGCAAAGGTCGTAAAATATTTTGAAATCGCTATGAAATTTATGAAAAGCAGCTTTTAAGTTTGTTTCCGCAACGGTTTCCGACCAAGATAGGGCATTCAAACATGATCTGAGTTTTTCTATATTTTCTCTGTTGAAGTCGCGCTTGTAGACGTGCCATGTTTCAGGGAATCTCCATATTTTTGTTCTCATATAATTAAGCGATTGCGCATTATTGTGGTTTGAAATTTCCAAATTGTGGAGCCTTCTTTTGCGTTTGTTATATTGCTTAAGGTGTTTAATGTTTCGATATTAAAATCCATAAATTATAATTTTTATATTTAGTTTTGTATCTAAGTTTTTTCATCAATAATTCTAATTTGATTAAAAATGTTTCTTGTTTCGAATTTCGTATATGGTACACGCAGACTACTATGCATTTGCATGATATATGTTCTATGCCACAACATTCAAAAGTATAATCAGCAGCAAAATCAGCTAGGATTTTTTTTTATTATTTTAATAAAAAAAATGTTTAGAAGTAAAATAACTAAATTTCCTAAGTTAAGGCCAAGGTTTAAAAACAGGACTCCATTACTAAGACTTCGCTCTTTATCTGTCTGTCATAAGACATTTCATGAACCCTGATAGTTAAACAGTTAATAATTTATACAGATGATATGGTTCTGTTGCCGCTAAAACAACAAATACTGAAAAACAGAATAGAACAAAAAAGGGGATCCTTAGAACAAACTTGATATGGAACCCCTCGTAGGCAAGGACGACTCGCACTTGTTTTAGAATAGTGGCTAACGCAAGTTAGTGCTAGGGTGCTAGTGAAATATAAATATGCTATATAAGTTTTCTGCAAACTTACGAAGTCCATTCTAACCTCCAAGGTTCGTGCTCAAAACCATTTATACAATTATGTTTCACAGTTATCTTAGGCCATTTTCGGGTCGTAACCATTCCGTTTGAATGGACTTTTCCCACACCGATGGCCACTACTTAAGTGTTTTACTGTTTTTTTTTCTACGCAAAGGGATTTGGAGAGATATCATGTAGCATTAAAGCAATTTAATTTAAAGAATCAAAGAATAAATATTTATATATAAGTGATAGGTATGTGTCCAGTGAGCTGGTGAAAGTTAGTGGTGATATGACACAGTGGTTAGCCCGTTCGGTCTGTCATGCGAAAGTTAAGATACTTTTGCATGCATCGGTCATAGAAAAAAAAAACCCTTGGTCCGAGCTACTCCTGCATTCGTTGATACCCGCGAATCGGTACTGTGGTTATAGCCCAGGTGGGGTGTTATAGCCCATTCTCCATATTAGACTCCGTCCATTGGGAAAAACCTGATACCCAAACGAGACATTAATGGGCCGTTTTAATTTTTTAATACATATGAGTATATATTCAAAACTCTTCATTAACTATGTCTGTATAAACTCTTTGTTCTCCTTAACCAGCCTTAAGGAAGGCCTGAGCCCTGCAGTGGGCAGGTAAAAGGGCTGATGATGATGATGAATTTCTTTGTTGCTTCACCCTCTATAGTTTCTTTGACACCCCTTACTGGTCGACTGGCAGAGAATGCCGTACGGCAATAAGTTCGAATTACAATCAACGTTAAATATATTTAGTTCGGTCGCCAGATCGATATATTAACCAAGTTTGATCTTGAATATATTTTTTTTCATAAATATACTTTATGGATTTAACACAACAATAACATGAGTGGGTTTTATTTTCTCTTTTTTGGTATGAACCTTTAAAATAAGGGAGGAGAAGAAAGAAGCTTTTTTTGAAGCGGGGTAGGTAAATTCCTCTCTACCTACGCCGCGAGAAGTCCAATTTCGACATATAGATCTATAAAATACTCTTATCAAAATAAGCTGATAAACGTTATTTCCGATTGTCAGACCATCGATCTACCAAGGTCTGACAAAGCTTCCAATAGTCGTCACAGGTATTATTGTTCCGCATCACAAGTGAACGTAATCAAAGTCGGTGTTTATATTTTTATTTTGAGAATTTGCTATTGACCTACTTAGATTCAACATTGAGACAACCGACGACATACGAATCGGAATCTCAATGCGACGAATGCATTCGGATAGATAGATCTAAACGTAAGCCGTCGAAATAAGATGGATAGATATTATCTAATAAGTATCTAACAACAACATCAAGTGGAATATATGGAAATATTAATATAGCATTAAGCATCGCTTAAGATGCGTTTTTGTAAATATTAAATAAGTACTACTACCAATTGGGACTCATTTACATATTGAATATTGCCTGAAAAAAAAAACAGTCTATCTCAACCAAAAATTCATTTACTTAGTAAATTTTTTACAATATATCGCAACCGACATTTGAATTTTTTTTTAAATGATTGAACCGAACT